TTCCCTCATTCTGTCCCTCTGTGGTCAAATTAAAATAAATAAAGATAAACAATTCTTTAAAAACAAAAAAGGTAAATAAAACAAGATTAAACGTTCCCCATCTTTGTTTAACTACATGTGATAGTTGCCCAAGTCTTGTACCAGATAGTGCGAGTTCACGTTAGAGCAGATGCCAGCTTGGGTTACTTTCCTGAGTTTAAAAAAAAAAAAAAAAGTGTGCTGTAATGGCTTCTGTGCATATAATATTTTGTAGAGTGTAAATAGTGCTCCGTGCCTCTCCCCCCACTTAGGTGACAGGACTAGTCCCATAAACTGAAAAGCCTTTATAGGAAGGGTTCCATTTCTCCTATGTGTACCTCCATAGGCATATAGGCATGTGGGAGTATCTACGCAGGGACTTTAAAAAGCATTGGGGGGGAACCAGCAGTTAGTGTGATGGCTATGTCACTGGACTCCCACATAGTCGACTGCAGTTCGCGTCCCGGACTCGGTGGCTTAAAACTCACCCTGGGCACGTGTGCGTGCATGCTCAAGATCCCGAGAGGAGAATGGAGGAGAAGGGATTGCAGCGTGACCATCCCCCCTGGGAGGTGATTTCTCACTTTCTGTCTCTCTGTCTCTCTCTGTCTGTCTGGCGAGCGCATGCACCCTATAGCGAAAAATCTCTCCCAAAAAAAAAGCATGGGGGAAAACAGAATTAATATATGAGTTTGTTTGGATGCAAAACAGTGTTTTTTAAAGCAACCTCATGGGTTTTTCAGACACACACACTTTCCATGAACTTTCTGAAAACCCACGTATGACCACGTGCTGCTATGACATCATTCTCTTCCTTCCAAGTTCCTGAACTTGCTGCCTCCTATTTTTACAGCGAACTGAAATTTTTGTGTGTGTGCATGATCCCCTTGGGATAGCATAATGTATGATTCCATAAACAGCACATCACCCACTTGAGCAGGCTCTTCTCCATTCCTAAGCGGTTGGCCACTTTCATTCTTTTGGAGGGAGCCTCACCACGTGACTCTGCACGTCCCTGTCGCTCACAGAGGCGCGGATGCCACACAGCGCTAATTTTACACCCTGGGGATGACCCAAACATTCTCACTGTGCTGACTCCTCCCTCGAACCACACTGGGTACATTTTTCCTTGCCTTGCCAAGTTTTCACCCTGAAGTCCTGTTTAGTAGCCTGGATGTCAACCCCCCACAGTGGAGGGGCAGTTTTGGGGTGAAGGGGAGGAGGTGTTTTAATGAAAATGCTGACACAACCTTAAGTACAGTGGCACGCTACCGGGTGCTGCTATAATAAAAAAGGGAACAGATTAAAAAGTGTCTAAAATGTAAATCTAAAGGACTAACAGTAATTAAAATGGAAATGGCACAGGGAGGGAAGGCATGTAATTGTGAGATATCACTGTGCAGAAGGCTCTCAGCTTTGTTTTGCTGGCTGTTTTTCTAATTCAGCGGGGCTTACTCATCAGTGGCAGTTCAATGCGCGTTAATGACTCTGGGATTGCAGGCATCACTCTGGACAAAGAAATGATTATTGTGCGGTCAAAAGAAGTTCAAAGACAAGAAGGGAATTTCAGTTTTTTCCTTAGAGATCCACATTCAAGAGCATATAAATTAAGCCAAATGTTAAAAACCACAGTCTGAAAGCTGACTTCAAAGTCACAACTCTCTAATTAATGAACTGCGAGCCTCAGTTTGGACAAGTTGTGGTTTGATGGGCCCATAAATCAACATGACAGGCCTGTTTCACAGTCTCAGACAGTGCTTGTCATTGAGTCACATCAGATGTAAACACAGCAGAAAAAAGAAGGGCTATGAAGGAGATGCAATTGATCAACAGAATTGGTAAAAACCCACTTTTGAAGCACATTATGCATGATCACAGGAAATGGTTACAGCCTCAAGAGGTTTCCCCTTCTGCTGTTGCTTTTTTGAATCAGATTTCTAACAGCCTTCAAAAGGGAGAATAAGAATTATGGAGTTTCTCCCCTGTGGCTTGCAGGCAATAACCCCCTGTTGTTATTTTGTGCTTCTTTCTTTTCAAAGGCATCAAAATTTAGTTTTTTAAAGATCTTTAACTCTATATTTGAAGACAAACAAAAAAGGGCTGCCACTGTCATTCTTATCAGTTACCAGGGATTGTGTTTTTCCTTTCTGTTGCCACTTCTTATTAACCTCTTATTTGGTCTGTTAGACATAGTTTGGAATGCACGTCTGCATGCTGGGAGAACATGAAAGTTCAGATGAGCTCAGAGGGCAGATAAAGAAATGTGAAGGGGGAAACTTACACAGCAGAAAGAAGGATAAAAGTTAACTCTCCCAAATTGCTGCTGTCAGAGACGGGAGCGACGCAGAGCACAGAGATGATGGTGGTGTGTGAGTTTGGGAAGAGGCGTAGGGGGAGAAGAGGGAAGACTTTGCATCTGCTCCGGGAGGAGAAAGTGATACATCGTAGTGGCGTGCGAGCTTCTCTGGGCACTAGGTTTGATGTGGCCCGTGCTTTGTCATCCTTTCAGCAGGCAGAGGTGACCCAGGAGATTCATGGCCTTGGATGTCTTTAGAGGTAGTTAGTCCGGTGGACCAGCCTCCTTGCATTCCCAGGGCCAGCGTGTTCCCAGGGCCAGCGGATTGGGCCGAGACCTGTCCTAACAATGGTTAGGAGATGCTTATTTTCCTGAGGCAAGGGGCTGGGGCTCCGGAAATTACCATGCAGGTGGTGGTCCTTTTGTGCTAAAATGAAATAGAGTCACGTGGTAGCAATTTCATGATGTGGACTGGTGGTTATGATTTTAACAAGGTTTGAACTTGGATGTTGACAGATGGAACAAGTATATTAATTTACTGAATCCCCAGTCATTAGTGGCTCATAATTTTGTAGCGTCCAGCCTCGCCCCCCCCCCCCTTTTTCCTTTTTTTTGTTCCCTCTCCTGGTCCTTTTGTGCTAAAATGAAATAGAGTCACGTGGTAGCAATTTCATGATGTGGACTGGTGGTTATGATTTTAACAAGGTTTGAACTTGGATGTTGACAGATGGAACAAGTATATTAATTTACTGAATCCCCAGTCATTAGTGGCTCATAATTTTGTAGCGTCCAGCCTCCCCCCCCCCCCCTTTTCTCCTTTTTTGGATCACCTCTGCAAAAAGACACTTGATCCGTGGCCAGAACAATGTACCTGTGCTCTCTTCTTTTTCCTCCATTGCCTGGAGATGTTTCCTTGGGAAAGTTTGTCTCCACACTGGTGAGAGCTAGGATCTCCCTTAGGATTTAAGGTGCTCTTTGGCTGAGGTTGGCGCAGGGGACGTGTAGCTCAGGGCAGCTTTAGGAGTGACTGCTCCTTAATATTTGACACAAGTGGTGTGGAAAATGGACAGCAGAATTCATTTTAAATCAAGCTAGGAAAAAAACAAATCCCATCCTGTACGGGTGAGGTAGGCTAAGTTGATTGTTTTAAAAAGGCCGTTTGTCCCGGGCAGTTATGACAGTTTATGTTAGGCAGTAGGGAGTAGCCGAAGAAAGGAAAACAGACCTTTGACTGCAGCTCTAGGGAGGGGATCCGAAATGCAAGGTTTATCAGGGCATTTTAGCATTTTAACACTGACTACTGACCTGTCCAGGGGACTGCAGGGAGACCTTTTTTGTATGCATTCAATTGTGAGAAGTAAACAAACGGTCTCGTATCCTGTGTTTGGTAACTGGGTGGAGAGCACAGTTTGGCAACTGGTATTGCTTTTAAATTCTTTCTTCGGACAATGGGCCTTGTATACTTTTATATCCTGGCTTTTCAAACGTGGACAGCTTTCATGAGCTTTTCCTAGGGATGGCCACAGAGACAACAGAAAAGGCATCAGTCACTTTATATAAATACAAAATTTTTAAACATTTCATTTACAGTAAGACAGGAAACACCCTCCCCAATCTCCAGCCACCCCCCCCTCCCATTATATTCCACTTCAAGAAGAGCTAATTCCCCCATCTTCTATCCTGTCAATGTTGTCTGTTCTCTTCCTCCCATTTTTTTTTTTAATGTCCTGAGTTAATATCTGTTGAAGAAGTGAAAAAATCATTTTGACATGAATATAACTATCATTGGGTTTTACATTAATGTGATAACTTGGGAAGGGGCGAAAACAATTGGATCATTTTATGCATGCTGTTCTTAAAATGAAAACACTGGCTTTTCATTTAAATTTATTTAAATTTTTGTTGTTAGTGGTATAGAATTTGTTTTTCGGAGTGAAACTCAATTAACTTTCTCAGTGGCATGGTAGTAAGTCTGAAATTGGTTGCTAATATGAGAATGATGGTTTTTACTGTAAAATAAACTACATGGAGACCAAATGGAAACCACCATTTTTCTTTCTTTGAACTTTGCATCAGAAGGTCTCCATATACATACCATTTTATGGATGTATCAGATCGAGGTCATGTGTTAGGTTAAGTGAATGCAGTTGTTTGTGAAGTATAGTTATTAACCAGAACACCCAAGCTCTGAAAGGGCTGGATCGTCCTTTTCATTTGCAGAAGTCTCTCTGATCTTAAATAATAATTAGACTTAGGGAAAAAAAAAAAAAAAAACTGATCATGTTCTTTTCTGGGAGAGTCTTTTTCCATCCCTTCCAGCCACAGTTTGAAAAGGGTTAATTTTCCTTTCGTAATTGTTAGCCATAATGTGGCTAAGACCTCCACCTCGATATGATTCCTAGCAGATTAAGGATATTAGATAATTTCCTTCTATTTATTGTAACTCCTGCACTGTATTATCTTTCTATCACTCAGATAATTACGGAGGAAATCTACATTAATTTTTTTGGCTGGAGCAAGGCCCGCTAAACACAGGAATGATGTATTGATGTTTTACACAACAAAAGTTTTCCTCCTGTCATTGTCCAATCAACAAAAAGATATTTATCATATCCTAAAGCCCCTTCTCTTCAAGAACAAAGCTGGTGGGGGAAGCGGGACAAGCAGCCAGACTGAGGGGGTTCCTGAGACCGAAGCCAAGAGAAGGCCTCTGACGCTTGGAGTGCCGTTCCTATTAAACACTCCCAGTCGAGTACGATGTTGTTTGCTAAATTATGAATGTGTGTAATTAAAATCTAGTGGCTGTTTCTATGAAAGATTTACAATGTTATTTCATCGTTTGTCATGGCTAATTAACAATATTAGATGAAGTTTTTCTTCTTCAAAGGTCTGATTTTTGCTCATTTATTTATGTCAGAAGTGATAAACAGAGTAGTTAAAAGCTTCTGCTGGTACGGGGCGGGGAGCGAGGCAACTTGTTCTTTCACACCTCGAAGGTTCAGAGTTCAGATCCCTCCAGATTCGAGTGCTGCAGTCTTCTTTCTAGTTGCAAATAATGACAAATGTCAGAGTCTGAAAGTTCACATCTTAACTCCCAAACTCAGGCTTTCAGACTGGGGAAAGCGGCCTCGATGGCCCAGTTACTCGGCCATGGAAGCAGGCAGTGGAAAGGGAGTAGGGCCAACCCCCTCACGCCCCTTCCGAGGTGGTATGTTCTTGTCCCTTTTAAACCTTGACATGGAGCCCTCCCCAGAGCTGTAGTGACCATTCCCAATGGTTGACAATGACGGTGAGTTTTGAAACGTCCAGACTTTTAACCTTCCTTGGGAAGTGGTCATCTCATTTTTTTTTTTTCTTCCTGATTTCTTACAGCAACAGCAGGTGGCTACCCAGCAGTTGGCTTTCCAACAGCAGCTTTTACAGATGCAGCAGTTACAGCAGCAGCACCTCCTGTCTCTGCAGCGCCAAGGCCTTCTAACAATTCAGCCCGGGCAACCTGCCCTTCCCCTTCAACCTCTCGCTCAAGGTATGCATTGATTAAACTGAAGGCACCACTCTCCCAGGACTCCCGGCGGACATGGTGGGGTGTCGCTTTGTATATATCCCAGCTATCGTTAAGCAGATCGTCCATCTAAAACATGCCTGTAGAAACTTCTTAAAAAGCTGAGTGAGGTAATGAGAGACTGGTGCAGAGTCACACTGCTTTCTGGTTCCAGAATGAAGACTTTAGGGTGGTCCAAAGGCTTAGCAGGAGCAGAGCCAGCCCTGTTTGTGGCACATTCTTGGAAGAAGGGAATGAAATGCTGCTTTGTACTGACTGAACATTTTCATGGAATCTTCCAGCATTTTAGTTCAGAACCACAAAGGAATTTTTATCAGGCTTGTTTTGTTTAATTTAGTTTTTTGTTTGCCATTTTAAGACATTTTATATCATGGACTTATCCTCTTTTTAAAATCTTGGTGATGCTTTTATAAGTTTCATTTTTTTTTTTAAATTTAGGGATTTATCTCTGTTTCAAAAAACCAAGTTTCCTTTTTGTTGATTTTTCTCTTTTTTTCTTTCTTTTTGAATTTGTCTGACTGTTAATTTCTGAGCAGAATAGTTCTGCAGTCCTCAGAACAGGTACCATTGCTGTGATCGGTTTGTCTTCAGAGACTGGGATTTCTTAAGTACCAAGATTTCATGGGTTTAGTGTATTTCTTTTGAAAAGTCACTGATGTTTCATCCCAAGGGTGTTGGCTGTCAGATGCAAATGGGAACGCTAGATGTTTTAGGACAACCTTTTGGTGTAAGCAATGCTGACTTTTCACATGTGTAATAAGAAAACAAATGGAGGCCAGCAGGTGGCATGTGGTTAAGGCGCTGGACTCCCACATGTTTGACCACAGTTCAAGTCCCAGACCTGAACTGGGACTTGAGAAAATTCCCAAGAGGAGAATGGAGGAGAAGGGATTATGGAGTGACCATCTTCCCAGAGAAGGGGAAACAATATTTTCTCACTTTTCCTCTGTCTCTGGCAAGCGCGTGCACCCTATGGTAAAAAAAAAAAAAAAAAAAAAAAAAAAGTTAAAAAAAAATTATTCACAGCTGGAAAGGAAGGGAGGAAAGAGAAAGTGTCACACCTGTGTTTTGAAAGTGGCACAGTCCATGTCAGTCACCTCCTCAAGACCTGCAGTCCTTGCCATTCTAGTAGATTGGATGTCTGTGTGTGTGCCGTGAAGACTGCTGGGCGAAGCCTTTGGAGTCTTGGATTCGGTTGCCTTCTGAAGAAGGTTGAAAACGAGGAGCCTCCTTTATACCAACTAGAGCATGGCCATTTGTCTAGTTCCCCTTCTGGGTGTCAAGTGGAGCCAGTGAGACATGTCTGCATTTGAATTTTCTCTCTCTTGAGTCAGCCACACCCAAGTTCTGTCCCATGTGGTGGTTTTTTGGTTTTGATTTTGTTTCTAATGCTGAGACCAGGGCTTTCTTTTTCCTTTAATTTCTCTCATCCCTCTCCACCTCTTTCTCCCATGCCCACTCAACTACTTGAGACATGGTCAGCATCTCCTGCACTGCTGTCAAAACCGAAGATTTGGTAACTGAGCAATAAGGAAAGGGCACTTCGGCTAATGCATTTTTGTGCTTGCAGAATGTTCTAACGTGCGTTAGTTGCGCCTTTGGGTTTGTTGTTGGAAACATGGCAGGCTCTTCTGACACACCCACTGAACTCCAGCTTCCCCCTCTCTCGTCTTTTCCCACCGCTTTGATACTATTAAGTTTGCTCTCTAAGGTTCATTGTTATAGTACATCAGTTAAGCTGTCCAAAAGAGGGCAATTGGGCAGTGACAAGACAAGCTCATGTGTAATGTGAAAGAAATGAATGTGGTGATGCATGAAGTGTAATCTCTGCAGTAACACATCAGAGACACCGGTAGGTAATTCACTCATCGTGGCATTGATTGATATGCTTAGCAGTCTGCTCTAACTATTAGTCCCCGCAACATCAAGAAGAAGCATATTTAAAACCTAAAGGGCACCTGTGTTGGTGCCCGAGCTGGCATACATGTAAATACAAATATTTCTGGAGGCAAGTGCTTGCAGGAAAGTGCACTAGCTGCGTCATCAGCCTCTCTCAGCAATCAGGAGCTTGCTTTTGTCCCCTCTACCCTTTTGCCCAAAGTGACTTGAGAATTCAGTCATGTTGGACTACAACACGATTTTTTTTTATCAGAGAGATGATGGCTTAAAACTGATGTCATTATGAGGTTTAAATCAACTTTCTGCTTGCTTGAACATGGTCACCTGGGTATGGATGTACAAGGACAGAAAAAGGTTGATCAACTCTGTTTGTCTTTGAGCCAGTGATACCTGGGGTTGTAAAATTGAGTTCCATGAACAGTAATCTGTCAACTGTCCCCACAACATACATTTTTTAAACCTGTGCCTGCATCTTCTTTTATAATGAAGGGGCCAGTCTTCCTGGAAAGAGAAATGTACCAAGGCATGCAGGGGGTCTGTATTAAGACTGGGGGTGCCCATTTCATAAGCATCAAGGTTCTTTGACACAACTTGCTAAGTTACCTTCAACACATATTTAAATGTCAGCATATAGGAATACACAGAGAATAACAGCTTGACAGCCTTTTAAAACAATTTTTTTCACCCTGAAGTTTTTATATTATGAAATGGTGAGATATTTTCTTGTTTTTAAGGTTATCATGGGGCCTTCTGTCTGTTCTCCACAATTAGCATATCTGGGTTTCACCTTAAGACTTTTTAATCATCGAACTCTCCCCAACATCTGTAATTTCATAGAGAAATACTCATTCAGTATCACTCTGACCTTCTAATTTTTAAAGTGTAAATTCTAGGTAGGTTAAAATTACAGGCTTGGTTATGTACCTGTTCATGCATTCGTTTAACTTATCTGTCGTTCTTATTTGGCCGTCCTGGAAGAAATGCATGCTTTCTGGGAATGTAATATCCATGTAGTCTGATGCGAGACTAGCTTACCTTTGCTCTATCTTAATTCTATCAAGACATCTTGCCTGTTGAAGAACAGCATCCCCTGGTAGAGAGTATTCATGAACTAACAGTTGAACAGTAGCAAAGTCCAGCGCCGATGGAGGACAGTGCTCTGCCTGCCTCCCTGGTACGTCTGGTGTGACGGTGTTCTTCAGTGTAATTAGCACTCTGCAATCCGGCCCAGGAGTACTACCGTTGTCATTCTGGGAGTTACTATTTTATTTATCTTTTCTCCCCTATGGGTGATGAAGCAGATTTGTCGGTTCATTACAATAAAAGGAGACCAGAGAGAGGCACGGTAATATACTCTGTGGGTGTAACAAGGGGTGCTTACACTTGTCCTTGTCTTTATTTGCTGGATAAACAGCTTACTTTGAAAATCGCTTCAAAGTTCTGCTTTTCATAGAGGGAAAGTGTTAACAGTTGTTAGAGCTGTGTGCTCCCCATATCCCCACCTCCTATGCAGCCGGCCCAGAAATCAATTAGTTGGAGTCGAAGAATAGGCAGCTCGTGGTTTTTCATCTGTTTACTCCGCGGAAAATAAAAATAGGTGTTGACTTGTGTGGTCTTATATCAATATGCTCTCATCAACAGACAAGCCTATTCACTCTCAGTTTCAACCGAGTAAACAGTGGTCGTAGGTCAGCCGTAGTCACACGTAATTGTGGGTGTGCAGAGAGCAGTGGCAGGCCTGTTAGTCCCAAGCACATCCCACCTGTCACTTCAGAAGGTGTTTGAAAATAATAGCCCAGATCAGCAAAACTGGATGCGGGACTGCGTAGTGACCTTTCCCTTTGTTTAATTTGCCTCTGAGGTTTAATTTCTGGGGACAAGTAATAATTGAATATGCCTAATAACTAAATGCTCATTTGGGACAAAATCCATCAAAACATAATTGGCATTTGATTTTTATGAAGGGAGAAGAAAACCAGCATGGCTGTGGAGATGCATTCTAAGACTCTCTGACCACTTAATGTATCATTTGAAGTCTCCTTTATAATATATATTAATTGCAAATACTTGAGCATTTGAACATTTTCGCGGAGAACCGTTCGGAGAGACCAACTGTTTTTGTTAACGCTCCTCTCGGAAAGGCGGGGAAGGTTATTGGTCTGCTGTGCAATAATTTACTCCTCTTTGATATGCAAACGATCCACGGTGAATATAAAAAAATCCTATCAGACTCATTTCACAGTTCTTAACCACTCGGATTCTCTGGAGTCCATCGCCTCATTAGACCAGTGCTCTCCAATGCTAGCGTAATTAAAATCTTTAACAGTTTAGCAAAGTAAAGATGTTTGGCTGATCACGTTGAGATGATTATCTATCCATTGTATTCTAAATGACAAAAATAAATTAAATTTAGACCTTGGCATTTTTTATTATGTGTTTCAAATGAATATAACGCACACAGCCTTCTTTTTTAATTCGATACCTTAGGTTTGGTAAGAAACATGCCCGTTTGGGCTCCTGCTGTAGTGTCAGGAAATGGCAGGCTTTCTAGGTTGGCTGTGTTACAGTTGATTGAAACAATGACCTGCCATCCAGACGTCCCAGTCTCACGTGGAATTGCCTGATGGTGCACAGGGTTTATGATTTCTTTTCGGTGCCCTTCCCAAGGAAGCTGCTGATTTTCGTTGTTGGTAGTTGGTATTCAGAGTATTTCTTCTTCTGTGCATGTATGTGCTAGAATTCCATTGTGGTGGGATTGGGACATCCTGGGCCCTGGAGGCACACAGCCAGGATAAAGACCCAGAGGCTACGACAGTAAGGTGGATCGTCCAATTCTCTCTCTCCTTCAGGAAAATTCAGGTTGGCACTTACTCCTTCCAACCTATGTCCATTTTGGCCCCCTTAAAAAACAAGAGAACTTTATTACTTCCATTCTATTTTACGTTTTCATTTTATTCTGCGATGGTTCATTAGCATTGATCTAAGAAATGACAGTAATAATAGTGTTACTTGTATAAAAAGTTATGCAGTTTTTCAGTAGACACATCCATCAATTAAGCATGTGGTACTAGAAACCAAAATTAATGAGGAAGATAGGTGTGTTAATGAAATAATCATAGTATAATCAATTTGACTGTTAAAAGTTGAAAAGCATTTCAGGAAGACGATATGAATTCATAATTTATGTCTAAAAATGATTAATAAAAACTATATTTAATAACAAAGCTATTTGTCATCATTTAAGACTTAAGCTCAAAAATTATTCATTTTGTGGTTGGTGTTGTCATAATAATATAGTTGAACAAATTTATTCCGAGCCCTTCTTTGTGTCTAAAAATAAGGTAACATCTTTGTACTTTTTTTTTTTTTTTTTCCAAAAATTGAGCACCATTTTGGATGGATAGAGGAGTACTGCGGTGGCAAAGTAACTGGGATTTGAATCCTCTCCCTGGGTGTCTTTTATGTGTGATGAGGGCACTTGATCTCAGCTGACTGGTCGGTAGGAGGACACGCTTGTGACTACTGCATGTGTCGTAGTTGGGAGGGGAGGGAAAAAAAAAACTGCACACACCAAAAAACCCCCCTAACACTAGGCTTTGTTTACTGACTCTTTGATTTAATTACTGTTTGAAGAGGACGGAATTAGCTGTTAATTGATTTAATTATCCAATTTGTTTGTTTCAGGCATGATTCCAGCAGAACTGCAGCAGCTCTGGAAAGAAGTGACAAGTGCACACACTGCAGAGGAGACCACGGGCAACAATCACAGCAGTTTGGATCTGACCACGACATGCGTCTCCTCTTCCGCTCCCTCCAAGACCTCCTTAATCATGAACCCACACGCCTCTACCAATGGACAGCTCTCAGTCCACACTCCCAAGAGGGAAAGGTAGGAACGCACCCCTGACGGGGGTCCGAGACTGCCTTGCACCTGGGAGGGGTGGGTGGCCGGGCCTCGCCGTGTCTCAGAGATTCCTAATTGTGTCCATATGACTAGGATGTGCGTATAATTACTTAAGAATGTATTCAGTATGGGTTGAGTGTGAAGCATCTAATTATTTTCACCTTTTCAACATGGAATTAGCACTTACATAGATCTCTACACAGCTAGGGAACCCGGGCAGAAGTTCTGTAGTTTCTCATTGGATGGGTTGGGTTTCAAGGCTTTCAGGCCCCCTCTTT